TAGGCACATTTAAAAATTACCTATCAGAATTCAACTGCCAACAATCTTAATCGTGGGGCTTCTCAGATCCCCAGTCACTTGTTTGCAAAGCAAGTAGTGATGAAATAGACAGTTTTTAATAGATGCAAAACACTGAAAGGAGAAAAATGTTTCAGAAAAGATCTGAAATACAGCATATTTAATGCATTGGCATAAAGGTGAATAAAAAGGTTAACATAAAATTCTTTGATAATACATGTCCTGATACTTGTCATCCTTATGAAATCAAACTGGCTACAATATGCACTGCAATGAGAGAGGTAAAAGTTTTTAAAAAGTGAAACTTTTGCCAACAAAAAAAGGGAAATCACTTTTGATGTACCTGGAGAGAGATGAGTGTTGCTTTTTTTGCTGTGTGAGTCATGAAATGGTCTTAAAGTTTTAAATAGAAATTTATAATTGCATTAAAACTAAACAACCAGTTTCTGAAGAGTTTATTTTGTTTCATGGAAACCCCATATATTACAGTTTAAAACTGCTCTTCATGGCTTTTTTATGGCCATCACATTTTGGAAACAGATCGTCAGACCTTTATTCCAAGTTGCTTCTGTCTTGAAAGTACCATGTACTCAACCATTTGCACTACCCAGAGACATTTATCATTGCACTAGAATTCAATTGCTGAAGAATTAAACTTGTTATGTACTTTTATTCAAATGCTTTGGATAAAGCTTTATCTGAGAATAACATCAAACATTACTTTACTTTCAAATCACACTATTTTTAGAAAAACAATTGCCCAAATAAGGATTTGGGATGGATTTCAACTAGAGTTCTGATGTGGCACTGTAAGATCAGCACTGGACTCCTAGCCACAAGGTTTGTGTTTCAAACCTACCAGCTGCCCCTTAGAAACCCTATACAGAGACTCCGAATCAAAACTGACTCGACGGCACTTAACATCAACAACTACAATAAATTTGGAGGTCAATTTAAAAAGCAGCCCACATCACTATTCCTCCCTAACTGTTCTTATTATAAAGACATTAGAGTATTGTTGTTAGGTGCCATTGAGTTGATTCTAACAGCGACCCTATGTAACATAGAACAAAACACTACCTGCTCCTGCACCATCTTCACAATGGTTATGTTTGAGATCATTGTTGCAGCCACTGTATCAATCCATCTCACTGAAGGTCTTCCTCTTTTTTTGTTGATTGTCTACCAAGTATGATGTCCTTCTCCAGGGACTGGGCCATCCTAGTAACATGTCCAAGGTATGTGAGATGAACACTTACCATCCTCATTTCTATGGAGCCTTCTGACTGTTCTTTTTCCAAGACAGATTTGTTTATTATTCTGGAAGTCCATGGTCTATTCAAAGTCCCAGGAAATGGCAGAATACTAATAGAAATACTTCAACAAACATACTGTGCTGGAGGTGCTCACTTGTCCATACCAAGAAAGTTTGGATACCTGGCTAAGCTACTGGAAGAGATTCATATTTGTTCCCATTCCAAAGAAAAGTGGTTCAACAGAATGGGGAAATTATTTAAAAATATAGCACGCAGGTAAAATTTTACTGAAGATAATTTGCAAATGGTTGCAGCAGTGCATCAATAGGAAATTGTCACAAATTCTAGCAGAATTCAGAAGAGGATATGGAAAGAGGGATATTAAGTTAATCTTGACAAAAAGCAGAGAAAAAATATTTTTAAAGCTCTGATACATAATTAAAATAGTGGCACAGATACAAAGACTGAAGGGACACATTTTATTCTCATCTCCTACTACTCATTAGCATCCAAACTGAATGTCAGCTAAGTGAGGAAAGGAAAAGAAACTGACTAAATCTACCATAAAAATCAATCTGAGGTCTGGCTAATGCAGTATCAGTCATTGGTAAGTTGTTAGTTACCATAAAGTCAGTTCTGACTCATAGTGACCATATGCACAACAGAGTGAAACACTGTCTGGTCCTGCACTATCTTCACAATTACCATTGCTTGATCCCATAGTTGTTGCCACTGTGTCAATCCATCTTCTTGGGACACTTCCCCTATTAGTTGACCCTCCACGTTTCCAATCATGATGTCCTTTTCCAGGAATTCATCTCTCCTGACAATATGTCCAAAGTACAAGCAATGAAGTCTTATCACCCTCACTTCTAAGCAGCATTCTGACTGTACTTCTTCCAACACAGATTTGTTTGTTCTGGAAGTCCATGGCCCTTTCAGTATTCTTCTCAAATACCATAATTCAAATGCATCGGTTCTTTTTTACTTATTATCCAACTTTTACATGCATATGAGGCAACTGAAAATACAATGGCTTGGGTCAAGCACACCTTAGTCTTCAAACTGACAATCTGTTCTTTAATGCTTTAAAGAAGGACAGATTTGCAATATGTCCTTCAATTTCTTGATTGCTGCTTTTATTAACACTAATTGTTGATTCAAGCAAAATGGACAATTATTAACACTAATTGTTGATTCAAGCAAAATGGACAATCTTTTCTCTGTTTATCATGCTGTTTATTAGTCCAGGTGTGTGGATTTTCATTTTCTTTACATTGAGGTGCAAAGTATTACAAGTCCTCTTTGCTCCCAGCAAGCAAGGTGGAATCATTTGCATATCGGAGTTTTTAATGACTTGTCTTCCAATCCTGATGCTATGTTCTTCTTTATATAATCCAGTTTTTCTGGTTATTTACTCAGCATACAGATTGAATAAATACATTGAAAGGACAGAACCCTGGCACACACTTTTCCTGATTTTAAACCATTCTGTATCCCCTCATTTCAATTGACTGCCTCTTGATCTATGTACAGGTTGCTCATGAGCACAATTACGTGTTTTGGAATGTCCATTCTTTGCAATGTTATCCACTTTGTTATGATCCATACAGTTGAATGCCTTTGCATAATCAATAAAGCACAAATAAACTTTCTGGTATTTTCTGCTTTCAGTCAAGATCCAGATCTAATATTTTAAATATAAGAAAAACTGAAGTTTGCCAAGTAATTTTACAAATATTTCCTGGGAAAAATGAAAGGACTACAAGCTAAGCCCTCCCTATATTTGGGAACCACTGGTCTCACCATTCATTTTCAACTACTGAAAGTAGTTACAGTATCTACTGCATGTTGTTAAGTGCCATCGAGTCTGTTCCAACTCATAACGACCCTGTATAGGATTTATGAGGTATGATTGGTGAGTTTCAACCACTGACCTTGCAGTTCAAATGGACTGTGCAGTCCAGTACATTAACCCACAGTGTCACACCAGGACTCCATTTACTGTATGGAGATTGGAAAATTACTCAGAGGCTCTGTGCATCACCAGCTTAATGTCACCTCACCTTAAAAGGATACTACTAATATTAGTACAATGAAACCACTGGGACCTGGAATATGAAGGGACTACCTTATTTTTCCAGGTCTTGTGAGTGTTCTACCTTGGACAGGGTACAAAGGATCTTCCTACTTTTCTGTTACTATTAGTGGAAAATATTAAATCTTTTCTTCTCTGCAGGTTTTTTCTTAACATAGGCTCTTGCTTTTGAAGGTTTTACTATAGTAATAAAATTGTGCATTAATAATAGTACCTTGCAGTCACTGTGATAACGGGAAATGTTTGTGAAAATTTATAAAATATTGGCTTAATAAAGATGTTACTAGGCAATTATACTCATTTTTACTATTGTGTGCCATCAAGTTTCAAGTTTCCATAGGTCTAAAGGCCTTCAGAACACCTAAATTGTTCCCAGTGTTATTTATATGGGATTGAGTCAAGGAGGAGGGTAGTTGGAGTCTTTGGGAGTACTTCACTTTCCCTCCTGTTCCCATGGACTGTTGTCAGCAGTTCACTTTATTATCTCAGAATTTCAAGTGACTATCAGTGTAGTGGTTATGAATGGGGCTGCTAATCTCAAGGTCAGCAGTTCGAAATGACCAGCTGTTCCGCGGGATAAAGATGAGGCTTTCTGCTCCTTTAAAGATTTACAGCCTCGAAAACCCCGCACAGGGTCGCTATGAGTCGGAACCGACTCCACGGCACATAACAACAACAACATCACCCGTCTTGAGCCATTTTTACTCTTGTTGTTAAGTGCCCTCGAGTTGGTTCCATCTCAGAGAGACCCTGTACAGGACTTCTGAGGAGTGGCTGGTGGGTTTGAACTACCAGCCTTGTGGCTCAAACTGGCCTTGTGGTCCAGTGCTTATCCTATAGCTCCACACCAGGACTACAGGACTTTTACCCTAGCTGTCTTTGTATATGTGTCTGGTTGTGGGGAGGAAGGACGGGGACAGGCCGAGGAGGGATCAGATTAGGTGGTGTGGTAGTTAGGATTTCCTTGTTTTTGAATTTGACCATCCTGATCAAGTGATTTACACTTCCCAGAGTAGCAAGGTCTTTAGGAAGATGACCCTCGCTGTCCCTGCATAAGAATCTGTGGATGAAGCGGGGTAGCTGCCGCTCTGATCCTCCTTGGCAGCTTGTTTTGGAGTGGAGAAACCCAATGAGACTCCTCAGCTGCTTGTTCTGTCGGCGAAGAGTAGCGAGGGACAGGCAGGACCAGAGAAGGTGAAGAGCTGGGCAGTGAGGCCAGCCAGCATCCAGTTTGCCAGAACAAGTGGCTATTGGAGAGGAATCCTCCTGGGAGCTTCCCAATCATAGTGACCCAGGTTAGAAGGCGCGCAGCAGCCAAGTGCGGCATTCCACCCTCTTCCCACTGCACTTCCCAACCAGCGGGCGCCCCGCCCCCTCGGCCTTATAGAGAGCAGAGACACCTCCACGCGGCTCGGAGCCGACGGTGACCGCCTGCGCTGCCGGGCAGACCTGGCGCCGCTGCAGCCAAAGTAGTGGAGCGAAGCGGCGGCAACGCCCCGCACCATGGAGGGCAGGCCAGCCGTAGTCCGATCCCGAGTCTTAGCAGACCTCTACCGCCGCCTGCGCTGCGTCTGCCAACTCCTGCTTCAGCTTTCCAGGAGTCGTCCTCTCCTCACCTCGAAGCCAACATGAAGGACACCCGGATCTGCACCGGTCTCAATCCTTCCTATCCAGGCATGTGGGCGTCGGGCAACCTCACAAATGACCCTGCGCCCCGCGAAGGGTGCGGCTCCGTGTCTGTGGCCTTCCCGATTACTATGTTGATCACTGGCTTCGTGGGCAACGCACTGGCCATGCTGCTCGTGTCACGCAGCTACCGGCGCCGGGAGAGCAAGCGCAAAAAGTCCTTCCTGCTGTGCATTGGCTGGCTGGCGCTCACCGACCTGGTCGGACAACTGCTCACCACCCCAGTAGTAATCTTCGTGTACCTATCCAAGCAGCGATGGGAACAGCTCGACCCGTCGGGGAGGTTGTGCACCTTCTTTGGTCTGACGATGACTGTCTTCGGGTTGTCCTCGCTCTTCATTGCCAGCGCCATGGCCGTGGAGCGGGCGCTGGCCATCCGAGCGCCGCACTGGTATGCTAGCCACATGAAGACGCGCGCCACCCGCGCCGTGCTGCTCGGCGTGTGGCTGGCCGTGCTCACCTTCGCCCTGCTACCTGTGCTGGGCGTGGGGCAGTACACCGTTCAGTGGCCTGGGACATGGTGCTTCATCAGCACTGGAGGAGGGGGCAACGGAACTACTAACTCCCAGGGCAACTGGGGCAACCTTTTCTTCGCCTCCACCTTTGCCTCTTTGGGGCTCTCAGCGCTGGTCATCACCTTCGCCTGCAACTTAGCAACCATTAAGGCTCTGGTGTCTCGTTGCCGGGCCAAGGCCACGGCGTCGCAGTCCAGCGCTCAGTGGGGTCGGATCACTACCGAGACCGCCATCCAGCTCATGGGAATCATGTGTGTGCTGTCAGTCTGCTGGTCGCCTCTGCTGGTGGGTAATTCAAGGGGATAGGGAGATTGGGATAGGCATGCGCGCAGAACTTCTGGAAGTGGTGGCTTCAGCAAGGGTTTTGTTTACAACAGTGGAGCATTAGAAAGTTATGTTGGGACCTAGCCCAAGAGCTTCCAAGTTGAACTTGTTTACTTTCTAAATCCTTTCTGTGTACTAGCTGTCACTTTAGGTGCTGGTTATGCAAACATGGAAACTGATGGACTGTTGTTCACCTGGCCCTGGGGAAGGGAGAATACCCAGGTATCCTTTAAAGGCAAGTGCAGAGATAGAGATTTCCCTTAGTACTTTGGAAAGAATGGCGATGACAACTGAGGCTTTTTGCTGTGGCTTTTCTCCGTATTTCGAACCCCTCGCACACCTCAGAGTAATTTTCCATTTATAGAAGCAGAAGTAGTCTCCTTGCGACCCCATTCCAGCACAGTCCGGGCACAACTTCTGAGTCATTGCGTGCTCTCCCTATGTTGGCAGCGCTAACCTTTTTCATAAGTATTTGCATTCTTAACTGGAAACAGAAGGAATCCTCCAGTCACCACAGCTATCCCCTCCCGGTGCTTTACCATCTATGAAGTGCCTGGACCTGATAATCAGGTTGTCTGTTAACTCTGTGATCAGCGTTTGCTTTCCCTTGTGGCAATCCAGTATCTGGGCTAGGTCACAGCTAATCCTGGGGTAGAAAGCAGGGGTTCATCCATTTGTCAGTTCCACATGCCAGCACACCTCTGGAGAGTAAATGGTGTTTCCATGTATGTTTTGTTCTTGTCCAAACACCTTTTCAAAGTTTTCCTCTGTAGTGATTTATCTAGAGGTTTCTGTGGGTTAAGAGCCATTTACTAAATTCCTGATGAATGGATGCTTACATAGGCCCCAAGGTCAGCCTTAATCAGAGGTTTTTCAGAAAGAGGACTGTTATTGCAGAATTATAGCTTGTAAAAATTAGACCTGAAAATATATTAGACATTTGTGGAAAAACTCTGAAACCCATGACTCAGTTCTCAGAACCAACCCACATATAGTTTAAAACCCCTTGTACTTTAAAACAAATGTAGTTTCTCTCACAACTCTATTTCACAAAACAGATATTTGAGAATATTGTTGTTGTTAAGTGCTGTCGAGGTGGTTCCGGCCCATAGAGTCACTGTATAGGGTTTCCGAGGAGCAGCTGGTAAGCTTGAACCACCAATCTTGCAGTTTAAATGGCTTTGCAGTCTGGCACATTAACCCACAGCGCCACACCAGGAGTCCTATATTTGAGAATTGTTGTTGTTGTTGTTATGTGCCGTGGAGTCAGAACCGACTCGTAGCGACCCTGTACAGGGTTTCCGAGGGTGTAAATCTTTATAGGTTTATTTAAATGGCGTGATACATTTAGAGCATAAGCTTTAGCTCCACATCAGTGAAGTGTGGTGACAAAGAGAGTTATGTTGGAATCAAACAGCTCAATGGTGTATGGTCAGGATCCTGTGTTCCAGGAGCTAGAACTCAGGCTGATGTCTTCACATGGCTTATCATAAACAGCACCAAGAGTAGACCTGTTTACGTCTGTGATTGAGAAGTGGAATGCGTAGATAGCCAAGCAGTAGGAAAAAGAGTTCTGAGTAAGAAACAGTTGACTAAAGCGTAGTAGCACTTGTGGTTCAGTGGTAGTGTTTTATATGCCATTCAGGAGACCCTAGTTCCATCCCAACCAATGTACCTCATGCTCAGCCACCCCCTGTATGTCAGTGGAGGCTTGCATTTTGCAGTGTTGCTGAACAAGTTTCAGTAGAGTTCCCAGACAAAGACAAAGTAGGAAGAAGTTCAATTTCCAAAAACCAGTAGTGTAATCCCTATGGATTACAACAATCAAATCTGAAACCAATCGTGGGAAATGGCACATGACCAGGCAGCATTTCTTTCTGTTGTAAAAGTGATTCCGTGAATGAGGGTGACTAGATGGTAGCTGACAATAACAACAACAACAGCAAAGGTGTAGTAATTAATGAAACTTTTAAAGACAAACAAGATTTTTCATAGCTGCCATTTGAGTTAATTACTGTTGAAGATCAAGATTGCAGCCTTCAGTATGGGTTTCATTTCAATGTAAAGAAACCAATAATCCTGACAACAGGGCCAATAAATAACATCATGAGAAATGGAAAAAAGATTAAAGATATCAAAGACTTCATTTTTCTTGGAACCGCAATCAACACTCATGGAAGCAGTAGTCCAGAAATCAAACAATGTATTGCATTAGGCAAATTTGTTGTGTTTAAGAGAAAAGCTGTCAGTTTGAGGACTAAGGTGCACCCAACACAACTCATAGGAGCTCTGGTAACATAGTGGTTACGAATCAGGCTGCTAATCTCACAGTCAGCAGTTCGAAACTACCAGCTGTTCCATGGGAGAAAGAGGAGGCTTTCTGCTCCCATAAAGATATACAGCATTGAAAACCCTGTACAGGGTTGCTATGAGTCAGAACCGACTCCATGGCACATAACAACAACAACACAAATTATTTATTTTCAATAGCGTCATATGCATGTGAAAATTAGACAGTGAGAAATGAAGACCATAGAATAATTAATGCATTTGAGTTATGATGTTGGTGAAGAATATTAAAATATTATGGAGTGCCAGAAGATCAAACAAATATATCTTGAAAGTAGTACAGCCAGAATGCTCCTCAGAAGCTACACTGGTGAGACTCTGCCTCTCAAACTTCAGACGTATTACCACTAAGGGCAAATGCCTGGAGAAGGACATCATACTTGTTAAAATGGAGAGTCAGTGAAAAAGAAGAAGGCCCCCAATGAGATGTAATGGCATATGGCAGTAATGGACTCAAGTGTAACAACAGTTGTGAAGATGACACAGGACCAGGCAGTGTTTCATTCTGTTGTGCATAGGGTCACTATGAGTTGGAACTGATTTGATGGCAAATAAACAACAGCCATTTGAGTTCCATGCCTTTGGGTTCCTCAAGCACAGGATTTATGCTCTAAGGGGAAAAATATAGTTAAGTAATATGAATAAAATGCATATCCACACAGTCTATCAGACTTATAGGTTTAAAAAAGAGAAGAAAAAAAAAACTAGACAAGAAATTTGTGTGTATTTTAGGAGAAATTTTGGTTCTTACCATATGAATACGGTAGCCTTTACAAGAATTTAGATCCTGAGAATTGTAATTTAAGCCAAGCTTACTTACTCCCTCAAAAAATACTCTATTTAGGACTATTGTTTTTAAGTGCTGTCGAGGTGGTTCCAACGTATAGCAAACCTGTATAGATAGAGTTTTCGAGGAGCAACTGGTGGGTTTGAACTGCCAACCTTGTGGTTTGCAGTCCCATGCTGATCCTACAACACCACACCAGGAATCCACATTTAGAATCATCCATATTTAATTTCAATTAATATCTACATTCAAGTATTGTTTATAGTTTTGCACCATTTTCTCAGCCACTTTATTAATTCAGCTTTCAGAAGAACATTAAAATTTAAATAAATCCAACATGTGATAATACTGAAGAAAAAAATTTATGGTTTCAAAAATAGGTTCTTGTAAAACTAAAATGTTTCTATTTTCTGTTTTGTTCACCACTGAAATTAAATCTCCAAATATCTTCAGAAAAATCTACAGCACAAAGTTGGAAGTATATCAAAGGAAAGAAACTAGCAAAACTGCTTTCTCAATAGTTTTGTGGATTGTAAGAATCAAAACGGAGTGAATTAAGCTAAGTAAAAGCAGTAAATTGAATTTTCAATATTTTCAATTGATGTTGAAGTGTAAAACACTTGGATATGTTTTCTACTAGCTTTTGTTGAACGGAGTATCGATTATCCAAACTTTTTACTTGAAAGGACCCTTGTTGGTGTAATTGGATGTCATTGAGTCAGTTCCAACTTTTAGTGATCCTATGTACCACAGAAGAAAACACTGCCCAACCCTGCACTATCCTCACAGTTGTTCTTATGTTTGACCCCTTTGTTGCAGCCACTGTATCAATTAATCTCTTTGAGGGTCTTCCTGTTTTTCACCAACCCTCTACTTTACCAAGTATGGTGACCTTCTCCAGGGACCCGTCACTTCTGATTACATTTCCAGAGTATGTGACATGGAATCTCATCATCCTTGCTTCAAAGGAGTATTAATATGTCTGTACTTCTTCTAGTACAAATTTGTTCATTTTTCTGGAAGTCCATAGTATATTTAACATTCTCTGCCAGCACCACAATTCAAAAGCATCAATTCTTCTATCTTCTTTATTCATTGTCAAGCTTGCACATGTACATGAAGTGATTGAAAATACCATGGCTTGGGTCAGGTGACATCTTTGTTTTTTTAACACTTTAAAGAGATTTTGTGTGTGTGACAGATTTACCCAATGCAGAATGTCCTTTGATTTCTTGACTGCTACTCCCATAAGCGTTGAATGTATATTAAAGTAAAATGAAATCTTTGACAATTTTAATATTTTCTCGCATTATAGTAATAGTAGTTTTTGCCCATTCATGAGAATTAAAAGGACCTTTAGAATATCTCATCTTTGAAGACAATCGTTACTATCATAACTTTTACTTGCTACTGCTAGAAAGTGTAGTAAAGCAGAAATAACATAAAAAAGAGTTCCAAATGTTATAAATTGCTACCACATAAATATGTAGAACAGAAGTTTATGATGAAAACAAAAACTTCCTTTTAATTTCGTAGAAACTTTTCAAAATACAATATGAGATATGAAATTAAGAGATAATACAAGACGATTTCATGTCACCATTGTAGATGATTCTACAATTCTTAGTCATTATTTCTATGAGGCACCAAAAAGCCATTCTTTTACAATCAGCCAACTAATTCAGCAATACGATCTGTTAAATTATCATTATTAATATTTTAAAACTTTTTATGAAATACGCTCACCAAATGTTCCAGTTATTTTGGAATGTTTCCAGAAATAGGATTAACCTTAGGGGGTTGTTCAGAAACAGTCATGAGCACA